TTACCTTTTGTATATGGAGGTCGCAATCATTAAGGCAAAATAAAAATTCATGATAAAAAGAAAAGTATTTATTAATTGTAGTGGAAAATGACATCATCCCATGGGGCGTGCTATCACCCACATGGAGCATTAAATGCCACTAAATTTTTATAAAAACATCTATCGTACCTTTCTTAATGACAAAAAATATCTTTGCTCAAAAAACATTTGTACTACAAAGCAAGAGTAATTAGTGTCCAACTCACACATATGTGTACCTGAATCAATGTTTTAAAAAACACTCCGCCTGACGCTTAGGCGGCCTGGACAAAAAATCTGCATGCCTAGACCCAGGCGGCCCTACACGGGCGGATGCACCTGGGCAGGCGCCCAAAGCCGTAAGGCCTTTTTGTATTTTTAAACCGCCCGAAAGGGCAAAAAGGGTCATTTTGACCCCCAAGGTTGTATAAAAACATTATGGGGTTCATTTTTAACCCCCAAAGTCAAAAAAAAAAAACAAAAACCCTCATTATATGAAAACCCCCAAACTTAAAAAACTACAGGGTGCCCGAGGTTCTGAGCGCCAAGCAAGCAGCCGCCTAGCGTTTTTTGAAACCTTGAATATAATCATATTATATATATATATATATATATACGGAAAAGTCTTCCCAACGCCTATAGGCGTAAATGAACAGTGATTTCACCTATACTCATCACTGTCCAAAATTCATCACACAATCACGATTGTCCGGTAGTGTTTCAATTTTCATTTATTTTCTATATATCCAAATGATCTGAAATTTGGAACGTGTGTATATCTTAGTGAGACGCACCTAATAAAAATATGAAAAAAATATTTCACATGATATAAATTGACCAAAATACCCCCATAAATTTTCAGGGGTATTTTGGTCAATTTATATTTTACGAATTATTTTTTTTATATTTTTATTAGATTCTCCTATTTTTAATGAACACACGCACCAAATTTCATATCATTCCAATATGTAGAAAAAAAATGAAAATTGACACACTATCA